TACATTTAAGTCCTTTATCCATTTTGAGTTTATTTTTGTGTATGGTGTAAGTTGGTGGTCTAATTTCATTTTTTTGCATGTATCCATCCAATTTTCCAACACCATTTACTAGTATTGAAGAGACTGTCTTGACTCCACTGTAAGCTCTTGCCTCCTTTGTAAAATACTGTTTGAGCATAATGGCTTGGGTCGATTACTGGTTTCTCTATTCGGTTCTATTGGTCTACTAGTATATGTCTGTTCTTGTGCCAGTACCAGGCAGTTTTGAGAACAGTGGCTTTGTAATATAGCTTGATATCTGTTGTTGTGATCCCTCCCACTTTCTTCGTCTTTCTCAAGATTGCTGCAGCTACTAGTATTCGGGATCTTTTTTTATTCAGATGAATTTTTGGAGAGTTTGTTCTACATCTTTGAAGTATGCCATTGGTATTTTAATGGGGATTCCATTGAATCTAGATTGCTTTGGGTAGTATGGACACGGTAAATGTTAACTCTTATTTGTATTAATCTTCATTTCAACCCAAGAGGTAGGGATTTTGCAGTAGAGGAAATAGGTTCAACATAACTGATATACAGAACCTGATTCAAATCTAAGCCTGACAGATTCCCACCTGCTTTCTTAACCACTGTGCCATCATCATCCCTGTAGAAAGGGAGTGAGGCTGATAAACAACTCAATCATTGTCAAATTAAAGTGCATGGTCAATGTCTCATCAGAAAAAAACAAATAGTGACTGGCTGATGTTTGTTTTTTATAAACTTTGATTATGTACATTTTATATAATAAAGAGGTATTATGTTAATTTGTCCTTTACAAGTCAATGGGTTGTGCACGCACAGGAGCTGGGGGATGGGTCTGGGACTTCCACCCCCAGCAGAGGCAAGCTCAGGCCTGCCCAGCACTAATGTCCTGCCCAGCGCTGAGGTGAAGCTGCCCGCTGCATCCCTGGCCAGGAATGTGATGCTGCCTGCCTGTGTCCCTGACCTGGGACTTGGCGCTACCTGAGTGCATCTCTCCCTTCACCCTCCAAAACCCTGTCCCCCCAGCACAGGGCTGCTTCTGTGTCTCGGTGAACTTTGCAACAGACCCAAGGAGAAAACAGAGGGGAGAAGCTGGGAGTTGTGGATTCCCAGCGCTTTAGTCACTTGAAAACAGCCCCACTTGAAATGCGAGGTGGCTGAGAAGTGAGGGGCTGAACACCACTTCGATGGACTTCTGTAGGTCCGAGGCCCAGGTGTCCACCATGAGAAGGAAAAGAGGGAAGATGGTTGGAGGGGCCTCGAGGAAGGGAGGACAATCTTAATCCCAAATAATCGAATTCTTTTTCTACTGTTTGTTAAACACAGTACATGGCTTGACCAGAATTGAACTCTAAATACTTCAGTGCATGGACTGCTCTAACCACCAAGAAAAACCGGCTAGGGCTTCTTTCTACTTTTTTTTTTTAATGTGCATTATCTATAGTACCTTACACACTTCATAGTTTATATGATCTGAAATGTCAGCAGCTCAAGTTTATTTTCTGGGTTTCATCAGTTTGGGTTAGCAAAATAGAAAATTAAATTGTTATTATAATAGATTAGTGGTTATGTTCTTTTACCAATTGAATTCTTTTATCAGGAATTATAGGAAATGGTTTAGAGTCTAAAAGTCTAAAAAAGTCTGGTGTTATTAGTAAACTCTATCTTTTGAAGTTTTAAAATGCATTTCATTTACTTAAACATTATTTGCAGATAGTTAGATTAAAATAGATTGCCAACTGAAGTTATAATTGGTTTTAAGGTAAGTTAATGTTGGAAAACATGAAACTTTATAGCAAAGAAGACAAATTAATAAATTAGCAGTGTTAGGTGAGATGCCTTGGACTTCTCTGCAAGAGTATTAAGTTTAGTTGCTGCATAATAGCTTTGTAAAGTGCTGTACTGTTCTGTTTGAGAATAAAAAGCATGTGGGAAATAATATATAAATGTGTTAATATTTAAATAAAATAGTTGATTTTCTTTCTTTTTCATTGCATATAGTTGTGTAGAGGGGAACTGTGACTTAATAAACATACAATGACTTGATTTTGTTTTGGCAGAAAATAGTATCTAAACTGTTGTGTTAACATTTACTTTAGTGTCTCTGTAAGGAGAGCTCCCAGAAGCCCTGTGTCTGAGGATTGTCTTACTGTTGAATCATGGCATTTGGTCACTTCTCAGTGACTCTGGGGAACTTTACAATTGAGGAATGTTGCTACTATTTTGTTTTTCCTCCTCATTCTTTTAATTTCTGCTATTCCTAAAACTTCATAGAAAATAATCTCTAATGTTTTTCATTTCAAGTGGAATAAAAAATAAAGGGTTTCTGTGAATGTACATTTTCTTGTAAGGAGAGAATTATTGCCTTTAAAACTATAAACAGTTTATAATTCATTGTAAGGACTAATTGTGCATTTTTTTAAAACACAGTTTTCTTGTTCTATCCTTCTTTAATCTGGTTATTACGTATGTTTCCTATAGCTGTAGTCTTGAGATGGTAAAGCTGTGTTGGAAGTGAGTACCTGTGCCACCAGTTAGAATTTATTTCTGGGACTTGAGAAAAGTGCTGTAATTATAAATTGATCGTTCATACAGCTGCTATTCCTTTTATAATACTACTTTCAATTGTAGCTTAACGCAGCTGATTCAATACAAGATTTATCTACTTATGAATAATAGGTAGCTGGGCCCAGAAAGAGAAGTATGTAGTATTTTCTTATTTCTTATGCCTTATCTTTTGGAAAAGTTGTATTTGTAAGCCAAAATACGTTTGTGTGTGGGTAAGTGGAGAATGGATAGAATATAAAACCTTTCTTAAGATGTACAGTTGGCCAACAGGCACATGAAAAGATGTACTGCATCACTAATTATTAGGGAAATGCAAATCAAAACCACAAGTTATTACCCCATACCTGTTAGAATGGTTATTATAAAAAATATTAGAAATAACAAGTGGAGCAGATGAGGAGAAAAAGGAACCCTCTTACTCTGTTGGTGGGATTGTAAATTGGTGCAGCCACTGTGGGAAACAGAATGGAAGTTCCTCAAAATATTAAGCATAGAACTACTATATTACTTAGCAATTCCTCTTCTGGGTATTTAACTGAAGAATATGAAAGCACTAATTTGAAAAGATATATGTACCCCTTTGTTCACTGCAGCCTTATTTATAATAGCTAAGATATGGAAACAACCTGAGTGTCCATCAATAGAATAGATAAAGAATAGACAAAATAGTTAAAGATGAGGTATATACAGTTAACTCTTGAACAGCTGGGTTTGAGCTGCACGGGTCCACTTATAGAAGGATATTTTTCCAATAAATATACTGTTGGCCCTCCACATTCCTGGTTTCAAATTTGTAGATTCACTCAGCAAAAGATCGAAAACAGTGTTTTCCATCTAAGTTTGGGAATCTGCATATACATAGGGTCTACTTAAGTTATGCACATATTTTCAGCTTCATAAGGTCAGCTATATATACTCAGCCATACAAAGCTAAATATTGCCATTTTTGACAACACGGATGTATCTTGAGGGTGTTAATGCCAAGTGAAATAAATCAGAGATATAAAAACAAAACAAAACATGATTTTATTTGTGGAACAGAAAACATAAAGAAATGAAAGAATAAAAACAAACTCATAGATAACAGACAACAGATTGGTAGTTGCCAGAGTGGTGGGGGCAGGGAGGCGGGGCAAAATAGGTAAAGGGAATAATGTACACCTGAAACCTACATAATGGTATTCAATTAAAAAACACATCTTTCTCTAAAAAAAGTATGTATTCACTTGATAGATCATGATTGTAAAAAGTATAATTGAAATGTAAATCTTCTCTCCTCCTACCCTCATTTCCTTGTCTGTGGTTCCCCTTCTTAGAGGTAGTTACCCATAAGAGTTTCTTGTGTATTTTCAGATTCAGTCATATATACAAATATATATAGGACATTGATACTACCTATGTTTTAAACAACCCATATATACTATATATATATATATATATACACTCTAGTATACATATTGTGTGTTTTTTTCTCTTAGGCTATTTTTCTTATTTCTTTTTCTTTTTAGTCCTCATCCGAGGATATTTTCCCATTGATTTTTTTTAGAGAGAGAGTGGAAGAGAGGGAGAGAGAGAGAGAAACATACATGTGAGAGAGGAGGTTAACCGATTGGTTGCCCTCCTGCATCAGTGCTGACCAGGGCCCAGGCCAGGGAGGAGCCTGCAACCCAAGTACCTGGCCTTGACCAGAGTTGAACCCCGGAACCTTTCAGTCTGCAGGCAGATGCTCTATCCACTTAGCTAAACCAGCTAGGGCTAGGCTATGTATAATGTTTTAAAATGGAGAAGTACTGTGAATTCCATGAGAAAAGGGACCATGCTTTTTTGTATGCCCGGCTCCTAGCCCACTGCCTAATATTTTAGATACTCAGCCCATATTTATTGAGGAATGAATGAATGAATGAATGAATGAATATAAATACACATATATGCATAGATACATACATGAGTTACAAAGAAAGTTAAATTGAGTTCCAAATTGGGAGGAAGAAAGGAGTGACAAGAAGATTTGGGGAGATTAGTAAAATAACATTGGCAAGAGTTGATAGTTATCTTGTAGTTTAGCAAGAAAAAATTTTTGAAAATAAATATGGGGAAAGGTATTAGACCATGGAATACTTTTCTAAAGAGTTAACTAAACAACTAAGTAGTATGGAGTCCTAGAAAATGCAGAAAACAGAAATAATATGGTGAAAGCAGTTTGAAAAGGATAATTCAGGCCTAAGGCATGGATATGAGGGATAAAGAGCAGTTGGAGCTTTTTGTTCCCTCTTGCTTCTGTGTTTCAGAGTTTCCATGTCCTCATGATAGGGAGCAAAAAGTAAATATTTATATGCTGTTATAATATATATAACACACACACACACACATAAAATTGGATTTCTTTATACTAAAACTTCATTGTTCCACAGCTCTTGGATAAGCACAAGAATATAGAGAGCATGGTAGAGCTTCTGGACTTGTATCAGATGGAGGATGAAGCCTACAGCAGCCTTGCAGAAGCCACAACGGAACTCTATCAGTATTTACTACAGCCATTCCGAGACATGAGAGAACTTGCCATGCTACGGAGACAGCAGATCAAGGTATTTTTTTAAACCTAAATAGTAGCCTGCCTGTTTCATAGTTCTCAACCTGGCTGGCCATGCATTTTAATTACAGTGAAACTTTTTAAAAATGTACATATCTGGTTCTTTGTCCCCAAAGATTCTAGTTTGATAGATTTGGGCTATATACAGCCTGAACAATCATTTTAAAGCATCTCAAAAGACAATTCTGCTGAGTAGCCAGGAGAGCACCCTTGACGGTAAAATTATAAATACAGTGATTCCCCTGCCCACTTTCCTGTACTAAAATTTGTTTCACCTAAGAATTGGAGTTGTTTTTTTCTTTTCCACTCTTCTAACAATAGATAGGAATAACACATAAGACCCGGTATCTAAGCAAGTGATGTGTTTATCATAAGTAATCCTGTGCCAAGAAATTTGTATTTATAAATGAGTCTCACTGTCCTAGCTACCTAAACTGACACATTCTTTTTTCCATGCTAAAAACAGGCACTGTTTTCTTTCTAGTTCTGAAATTGAAAACAGGGGTGTCACTGTTTCAGCACATGATCCAGATGACCAAGGCTGTGCATCTTCAAATTTGCCAAGTTAGGAAATGAACTTAGTGTCCTATCTTCACTTAATGTCTTAGGTGCAATTGTAATCACATTTTTTAACAGTTGGCTGAAACATTAGCTGCTCAATTTTACAAGTCAGTAAAAAACAGCATTGAAAAGCATAATATACATGAACAGTGAAGGTAAAGATTAATCCAACAACAAAGTGTAAATTATCTTCAAATAATTGTGACTGGATTTGCTTTTTGTTAACTTTTTCTCTTCTATAAGCCATAATGCACATTTTCTCGCTTCTGTGTACGCTGTTTAATTGTGCAAGTGAAAATAAATTCTGCTAATAATCTGAGTTGAGATTTTTTAATTTGGAACATTGCTTGTTCTGTTTATTAAATTTCTGTTTCATAGTTGTGTCTGTTGGAAAATCAAACCAGATACTTCAGATATTCAGAGGGACTTGAATATGAAGAGTTGTTAATTAGGTATAAAGTTGTTAACCAGATCATTAAGAAGGCAAGAATGTAACTCTGTAAGGTATCAGGGTTAATAATTGCCAAAACAGCCACCACTCCTAGGTGTGTGTGTGGGGGGTGTACTGGAGAGATGTACTTTCATCTAATCAGCAAAGAGGATGGGCCCCGTCCTGGTGAAACTAGTCTCTGAGGAAGAGGACATTGCTCACCTAGTGCTGGTGTTTGAGCTGCTCTAGTGGAGAGACCTGCTCTCTGGGGATAGTGCACCGGTGGGCTGGTGGGACTGGGAGGTTGGGGCACACAGTGAAGCTAGTTTTGCAAAGGTGGGAAAGCTGGGAACTGGATTCAGTAAAAAACTTCAGAGTCTGAGTTGAAGAAGTGAGGCTGGGATGATGCTCACAGGAACAGCAAACAGTAAAGTCAAGTGATGCAGATGGTAAGAAGCAAAGCTCTGTTACCTTCTTCAACCCTGAAATCTCCTCCCACCCTTCCTATTGACAAAGCCTAAATGTGATTTGCAGAGCTTGAATCCTAGCATCACAGGGCAGAAGGTGGAACTTGGAGCCAACAGACAAGCCATTTACATACATTTCAGATTTTCAAAGTTAGAGAAAATATCTAATAACCTAGTTTATGGTCTTAGGTAAAATAAACTTACAAGTTCTTTAAAAGATATAAAGTTTAATCAATGAGGTCTTTGAAAAAGATTTCTATTCAAAATATACTGAATAAGAGTTTAAAATTTTGCCTGCAGTGTTCAATTTATTACTATTCCATACTTGTGAATTCTAATATTATACTTTTTAACTTGAGTGTTTTAAAATCAGAAGTAATCACAACAAAAAGTTCAGACCTTGATGGTTTTGTAATAGCAAACAAGTCTTTTAGAACCCTTAAATCAAAGCTGTAGTCTAAATATGCCACCTACTGCCAAGAATCCCACCGAGGTTTTCTGTTTCCTGTCAAACCAAGTAACGTTCCTCAGCCTAACATTCAAAGGCCTCATAGTGATCACAGCCTTCTTTTTTGGTCCTACCTCCCATCACCTTTATCAGTCTTACCCAAACTCCTGCCAGGCTGGACTGCTGTCTGTCTCTTACCATACCTGCCTCTAGGCAGTGCTCAGGTTAATTTTTGCTTCTAGCGTGCCTTTTAAAGGAGGCTCTATTTCTCCATCTGTACCTGTCAAAATCCTATCCCCCAGCGTCCAAAGCTTCTGCAGTTATGAACCTCAGTAAGTTCTATTTTTTTGTAGAGATTTTTTCATTATTATTTTCCTCCCATTACCATTTATCCCCTCACCCTGCTCCCTATAAATAGCTAAGTTCTCTCTTACCAAACCTTTAAATTTTCTTAAAGAATTTAAAACACTTTTATTCCTTTTTACACAGAGACACTGTTTGCCATCTATAATATCTGGCCAAAATGCTACTTATTCATCATTCCCTTTAGAAAGTCTGCCCAGACTTTGCACCCCAAACTCCACAGCTAGTGCTTTCCATGGTATCTTAAGCATACTCTGTCATGACATTTTTTATACTCAACCGAGAGCCCCAGTGCGTGAAATTTGTGCACTTGGGGGAAGAAGGGTTCCCTCAGCCTGGCCTGCACCCTCTTGCAGTACAGGAACCCTCAGGGGATGTCCAACTGACAGCTTAGGCCCGCCCCCCTCCCATCCCACCCCCGGAGAGAGGCTCCCGCCACCACAGCTGCCCTCCCCAGCTGTGAGCCTGGCTCCTGGCTGAGCGGCACTCCCCCGGTGGGAGCACATTGACCACCAGGGGGCAGCTCCTGCATTGAGTGTCTGCCCCCTGGTGTTCTGTGTATGTCATAGCAATTGGTTATTCGGCCATTCAGTTGATTTGCATATTAGCCTTTTATTATATAGGATTGTAATTCTTTACTTGGGTATTTATGTCCTCCACCAGGCCGAATATCTTATTATCTCTGGTGCCTACTACAATACTGGCACTGAACAGATATCATACATGATCGTTTTGAATGAATAATTGAGACCTTTGTTAAAGGTCTCATAGCAGAACTAGTCTCCTCATTTCAAAACAGATTTCTTCATCACAGATCTCTCTTTCTTCCCACCCTCAATTAGATTGTAAGTTTCTTGGGAAGACAATATGCATATTACTCATATATTTCCTCTAAAGCACCTAGTACAGTAGTCTCTGCATTCAAATTATATAATTGAGATGATTTCTAAATATTAGCCATGGGAAAATCTAAAAGGGGAAGAAAAAAAAAACCCAACCATATCCAATAGTAACATCATTTAAGTTTGACTCCTGAAGTTTGAAACTGGAGATACAATAATCATCTGAGAATTAAAAAAAAAAAATCTAGTATGGAATTGGATATCAAGAGTCCTAGCTGCTGCTACTGGCTTGTCTTTGTTTGGTAACTATTTTTATAGTCTCAGAAGTGGCGTTTATATTAATGAGGAAGACATTTATGTTCTGAACATATATATATCTCTACTTCCTATCCCTGCCCCATACACTGGAACAGTGGTTGGCAAACTCATTAGTCAACACAGCCAAATATCAACAGTACAATGATTGAAATTGCTTTTGAGAGCAGGAAACCGACTTCTGCGCATGGGCCACGAAGTTCCAGTTGCACTGTACATGCTCACCCGCACATGGTATTTTGTGGAAAAGCCACATTCAAAGGGCTAAAGAGCCTCGTGTGGCTTGAGAACTGCAGTTTCCCGACCACTGCACTGGGAAAAAGAGGTCTCATAATTTTGCCTCTTTCCTAGCCTCATATATGAAAACATGAACTCATTTTTTTGCTTGACTAGAAACAGGAAACCTCTGGGATAGTGTGTCTTTAGCCTGTCTAGTTGGTATGATTTGTGAACCCAAGAAAAGATAGAAGCATTTTTTCTTGTTCATGCTTATAAAAGATATGTATAATAAAGAAGATTTGGAAAGTGCAGATTTTAAACAGGAAGAAAAATATTACCAATAATTTACTACCAAAAGATGACATCAATAATAATACACCTTACATATTTTGTCCTTTTTCCCCTAGGTATTCTTTTATGTAATTGAAATTATTATATCTCTGCACAATATTGCAATGAACACTCTGGTTATTATTTTTGGAAGGTATTGTCTTAAAAATCTTCAAAAAGTATGGTATCATAAAATACTTCCCAAAAAATGTTTTAATCATTGTATAGTTTCACTAGTATTGTATAAGTATGTATCTTTTTTGCCATTACCACTGTTTAGTCCACATGTGTCAAACACAAGGCCCGCGGGCCAAATCCGTCCCGCCAGGCCTTGCAATGTGGCCCGCACCGCGCTGTCATCACTGCACTCCACTGCGTTTCCATCACAATGACAGTTTATGACTGTTCAGTAAACCATTCGGCCCGCGATTTAGGCTGGATTTTAGATTTTGGCCCCTTCTCTGATTGAGTTCGACACCCCTAGTTTAGTCTCATCATTTAAAAAAACAACAACACATTTTTATTGCTTTCAGAGAGAAAGAAAGGGGGAGAGAGAGATAAAAACATTGCTTCAGCATGTCTGAGGTTTTGCTGCCTGTGGATTCCTCTAGTATTTTTATGGTTTCTCATCTTAAGTTTAAGTCCTTTATCCATTTTGAGTTTATTTTTGTGTATCTGTTCAATTTTCCCAACACCATTTATTGATCATTGTTAATTTTCTTGTGTTATTAATTAATAGCTAGCACTCTAAAGCAGGGGAAAACAAGTATTCCTTATTTTAGAATCAAGCACAGTGCCTGATGTAAGCATTTAGTAAATGTTTAAGAAATGAATCAAAGAAAGAAAATAACTTTTTAAAAGTGTTTTATTTTATTGATTTTAGAGAAAGGAAGGGAAAGGATTAGAGAGATAGAAACTTCCATGATGAGAGTGAGTCATCTATTGGTTGCCTCCTGCATGGTTCCTACTGGGGATTGAGACTGCAACCAGGGCATGTATCCTGACCTAGAATCGAACTAGTGACCTCGTGGTTAATGGAGTGATATCTAACCATTGAGCAATACCGGCTGGGCAGAACTTAATTTTTCTTTTTCTCTCTCTAAAGATTTCCATGGAGAATGATTATCTGGGTCCCCGAAGAATTGAAAGTTTACAAAAAGAAGATGCTGATTGGCAGCGGAAAGCTCACATGGCTGTGCTCTCTATTCAAGATCTTACTGTCAAATATTTTGAAATAACAGCTAAAGCTCAAAAAGGTAAGTTTCCCAAAGAAATTATACTTGTTTAACTTTGAAAACGAGTTGTTTAAATATTTTATGTTCACATTAACTGTGTTGAAAAGTATATAAAGACCGCTAATAGTCTGAACAGTTGGGAAGGAAGATCACTATTAATAAAGTTACATCTTTTCAATCTTTTTTAGATATATTAGTAATGGGATATTGATATAGTATAATTCAGTTTTGACACTAATCATTCACAATTACAGACCCCACAATTTAAAGGCACAGAGGTCTCTAACATGACTATCCTCATCTCGGGTACTACTCCCTCATTTGGGGGGTGGGGAGTTTTCAGGCCATCTGCTCTTCTACCAACTTGCTACTAATTTGAGGGTTCCCATAACTTTTTTAGGTTCAGTAACTCAATACAATAACTCAAAGAACTTAGAACTTATAAATGACACAAATCAGGACAAGCCAAATGAGACATAGGGCAAACTCTGTGAAGGTTCACCTTCCTTCCATAGGTGGCCATAGACATTCTTCAGTGGCTCCTTAATATGCAATTCAAACTCAGGGCTGTTCATTATATTAATAATCTGTTACTTTCTTTACCTGCAGTTAATACAGGTTAACATTCAGGTTATTCTTTCACCAAATTCACATTTTCTTAAGTTGAATTTAAAGCAATTTATCCTTCAGAATGCCAGTGCAGAATGAGAATACTTTTCTTGATTTCTCCATATCCTTTGGCATTGTCATAAAAACACACAAAACCAATAATTTGATAAGTGAAAACGGTATCATGTTCTTATTTTACATTTCTTTAGTTACTGAATGTTGATCTTTTTTGTTCTCATATAATAATTGGTATTAGCATATTCTTTTTTTTTTCTTTTCAGTTAACATTTTTGCCTATTTTTCTATGGTATTTTTTGTATTGCTCTATAAGAGCTCCTAATATATTCATTGATATTTTTATTATATTTCTATTATAGTTGTCTAGTTTTGACATCTGTTGCAAATATCTATTCCTAAATTTTCTTTTACCATTTTTTACTTTAAAAATCATCAGCTTTTAAGAATGATTTCCTTTTTAATCTTTAAATTATGTTAACTTGTAATTTCTAAAGTAAGTTTCTGTGTTCCTTCAAATAGTTAAAGCCTACTAAAAATCCTTTTATATACTTAGATTTCTTTCTACACTCTTTTCTGTTCTTATATTGTAATTGTAACTTTATAACAAAATTTATTAACAAAGTTTATCAGTTAAACCCTCACTGTTTTTCAAAATATCTTGGCTATACTCAATTATTCTTCACTAAAATAGTATTATAAACCTTTTGAAAAAATCACATACCCTCTTTTTTTTTTTTTTAATTAGGATCATTTTTTCCGAAACTAATATAATTCTGATCAAAACTATAATGTTTTAGGATTTGAAAAAGGATTTTAATATTTATGAGGAAGAGTAAATGCTTTATTTATTAAATAAACATAGGATGATATTTTTTGGAGGGTGTGGTTGGTATATCATGACATTTATTCAAGTTGATTATGTTTTTTGTTTTGTTTTTTGGTTTTGGTTTTTTATCTGGGTCCTACACATTTCTTGTTCAGTTCACCCGTGGGCTTTTTATGTTTTACCTTTGTTGTTATGAAAGGACATTATTCCTTTTAATAGGTTTTGAGCTTTATTATTTAATCTTCAAATCTTTTATCTGTTTTGGTGATTAATATGGTATAGAATGTGTTCAAGTTCTTATGCAGATGTTTCACTTACATACAAAGTGAAATTTGATAGCTGTAATAAAAACTGTCAATAAATATATGTGATTTTTATTTGTTAAAGAATAAATTAAATATGGTTTGTTTCTTAGATTTAAAAAAATGCTTTAGATAGATGAAATTATAGTTAACATGTAGTGTTTGACAATGAAGTGCTTTTCTTCATTCTTTTAAGGTATGTTTTAGTAATACTTTATGTTTTAATGTTGACGTGACTGATTTGTGCATAGATGCTGGCAAAAGTGTCTGACACTTACGCTGTTGCTACTTTTGAAACTCTGGGCTTTTATTTATTAGGATGAGACCAGCAATGCCCTAACTCCAAAACTACACAAAAAAAGAAGACGACTATAGACCTGTATTCTAATAGATAGATACAAAAATCCTCAACAGAATATTGACAAATTTTAAAATACTTAAAAATTAACAATCATGACCACATGGAGTTTTTCTTTCCTCATTCAGTATGTGAAAACCAATCAATGCATGCTACTGAATTGCAGGTCTAAAGCAGTAGTTTTTAACTGGGTGTGATTGTGTTACACAAAAGGACATGAAGCAGTGTCTGGAGACATTTTTGGTTTTCACAACAGCATAATGAATAACTAGCATCTAGCCAGCAGAGGCCATAGAATGTTCAGCATTCTATGTTGCACAGGACAGCCCACCATAATGGCTAAGAATTTTCTGGCTTATAATGTCAAAAGTGCTGGTGTTGAGAAATTCTAGTCTTAATAAGAAAAAAGCATGATCAGTATATCAGTAGATGTTGAAAAAGCATTCGGCAAAATATAACATCACGTGCTAAAAAAGCAAGTCTTAGCTTGTTGTAATGAGGTGAGAAAAAGAAATAAAATGTATTTAGTTTGGAAAGGAAGAAATATAATGTCCTTCCTATTCACAGATAATAACATTGTTTATGTATGTAGAGAATTATATGGAATCTATTTTTTAAACTCTTAGAATTAACAAATCACTTTCTCAAGGTCACAGGAAATAAGGTCAACCGAAGAAGTGAATTTTAGTAGGATTTAAATAATTTTAAATAATCTTGAATATTTCAACTAACATTACCAGGAAAAATGTATAAACCTTCACAGAATAAAGTTTATATAGAAACTTTGAAATGTAATGACACTGGACATGTAAAAGAGCATTTTTAAAATTAATCTGACAAAGTTATTTCTGAGGAAAATTATTTAAAATTTTTATTGAAGACATTATAATCTAAGATATTGTTGAATAATATTTTAGAGCCATTAATAAGTAATTTACCATGGGGGTAAGATTTGGGTGTTTATCTTTGAGTAGGTGGTTAGTGAAACCTAAGTCTTTCAAATTTTTTAGTATCAAGTTGTTTTATATCTTATTGTCTTTTAAAAATTATTATTAATAGCTGTGTACGATCGAATGCGAGCAGATCAGAAGAAGTTTGGTAAAGCATCTTGGGCAGCAGCCGCTGAACGTATGGAGAAACTCCAGTATGCAGTTTCTAAGGAGACGCTACAGATGATGCGAGCAAAAGAGATCTGTTTGGAACAGAGGAAACATGCACTAAAAGAAGAGGTAACAAAAACACGGAAAGATACAAAAATTTTTACAACTTAAGAATTAATTTTATCTTTGTATAAGACTGACATTTTTTTGATTTTACAGTCAACTAATAATTTTGCACTGACTCCATTAGACAATAATACTCATGATGGGGCCTATGATTTGCAGTGCCACTAATAGAATAGATACATATGGTATTTTCACAGCATCACAATGGAAATACAGGCATCAGTGCACTGTTCAGATAAAAGGAGGTCTACGTTAGAATTCCTTTGCTTTCTTTAAAATTTAGTAATGTTCAAAGCTTTCTGACAATTATTAAGAAAGTTTCACTCCCTAAGGAAATTTAGCAAAAATACTAAGGCAGTAACATTTTGTTAGACTTGATTATATTATGCTTAGACCATTACCTTTGGAACTTTCATTTTATTTCTTCTGGAACAAAATAAGATTAGTAGAGGTCCAATTTTCTTGATTGGGTTTCAATTTTCTCTTCATGGATACAAAAAAGAAAGGAAAAAAAGCTATAGAAATCCTTGAAAAGGGTTTCTTAAAACCTACCTAAAATGAACTTCTAAAAAATTATATTTTTTCTCATCCTTTTTATCAGTGGTTTTAGTGTTCCTTAGAGGGTCCAAAACAGCACTGGATATACCATTGATGCCCAAATCTTGCTTGAAAATATTGCAACCATTAGTTTTGAAATATTTTATATATTTTATGTTTTATTAAACTTAGCCAGAACAAATAGCTTTTTATAAAAGAGTACTTAAATATCTACATTTGTGTATGCTGATAGTTTTTCTAAGTACTAGAAGAAGCAAATGATATGGTGTAGGAATGCAGTATTTTTGAAAATCAGGAAAGTATATAGTTTTAATAGTGAATGAAGATTAAAACTAGTGTTAGGGATGAATCTAAGCAGGTGTTCTAGATGGTAGGTAGTAACCTTTGATGTTTTAGGCACAGCTATTCAGTTTGTCCATTGTACCCAGATTTAAAACTCAAAATATATCAAAGATAAAAAGCAGTCAAATCATTAAATAAATTTTGGATTGCTTTTCCTTTTCTTTATCCATTTTTTACCTTACTGAGATAGATGGTTAACAATTTATTGTATCATACATTATTAAGTCATTTTTGGGGGGAGGAAATGAAATCACTTTTTGGGGCCAATATGTCATATATGAAATATTTCTAAAACCAAACTCCTTCATTTCCGTACTTAGCAGGTCTTCCTCAAATCTCTCCTTTCTGTTAAGGGCGCATGATTCTTCAAGACACCCCAGGCCCAAAACCTTAGGATCATCTTTAACTCTTCCTTTTCCTTTGCCTCCATTTTCTGCTTATTAGAATTCTGCCCAACAAAAGTGTCCCCCTCAGTTTAATACTGGCTATTTTAAGAGAGGAATTATACTTCAGAAGGATTAGATAAGTATAAAATTATTTGCTTCATTAGATTTGTAGTACTTCGTAGCTCAAAATGATTTTTAAATCATATTTTGAGAAATAATACAATCAACTGGAGAATATTTTCATAACCCCCAAAATAAACCTGTGTTCATTAGTAGTCATTCTTTTTTTTTTTTTTAATTTTAATTTATTGATTTTTTACAGAGAGAAAGGGAGAGAGAGAGTGAGCTAGAAACGTCGATGAGAGAGGAACATCGACCAGCTGCCTCCTGCACATCCCCCACCGGGGATGTGCTCGCAACCAATGTACATGCCCCTGACCGGAATCGAACTTGGGACCTTTCAGTCCGCAGACCTAAGCTCTATCACTGAGCCAAACCGGTTTCGGCAAGTAGTCATTCTTCATCTCCTCTCCCACCCTCCCCCAGACCAAGACAATAACTAATCTACTTTCTGTCTCTCTAAATTTTCTATTCTGGACATGTAAATGGAACCATAAAATATGTGGTTGTTTTATTTAGCATGTTTTCAAGGTTCATCCATATTTGTAGCATTCATCAGCACTTTTTTGTTGTGTTTGTTTTAGGGTGCCTAAAAGAGCTGCTGAGAGCAAGGTTTCTGATTGCAGTACTTGCTATTGCAGGAACATTTATTCTTACTGGAATTGGTCTAGGGTGGTAGACAAAGCTACATTGGGCCCTGAGAATCTGGGATATGATTATCTGTGGGGTCATTTTCCTTGGGGCCATCCTGTTACCTTAACAGTCTGTTTTTTAACATTCTGTAGTGTGTTTAAATCTTCAAAGGTTTTGGTAAAACTGCCAGTTAGTCATTCTTGCCAGGTTTATGATTGTTGTGTGTATATAATATACGCATTCTGCTTTTTATGTGCGTCTGTGATGATTTACTATACAGTTTTATTAGCGTTAATTTAAAGGTGACCACATTACTCATGAGAAATAGTACAAATGTCAGTTATTAAGCCCATCCCAAACAAATGCCAGTGAAGACCTTGTGATAGAGTACTACCCTGTGATTTAAATGATGGGGAGACTTTTGTTCTTTTTAAAAATGTTGCTATGTTGTGTTTCCTTAGGTTACTTTGAAGACAAAAGACTTCTTCCTGATGTGACAAAACACTTTAAAAATAGGAATTAAATTGAAAATTATTTAGTAATATTTGACATGAATATAATGCTGAACTTGAAACAAAATTTTTAAATTAACATTGAAATATTAAATGTCACCTGGGCAAGCAAAATTCTGTTTAAATTTAAAATTTTCTTTACACTAGTATTCAGAATAAGTATGATGCCTTTTACTCTATCTCTTTTTTAACAGTTTCTGAGTCTTGATTATAGCCATTCTTACCCTCTTGAGGTCACAGACAATTTGTCCCTTTAATGATTTGAAAGCAAGGAATCCTGCACTCAGAAATACGCATATGCATAGCTTTGCACACAAATTTAGTGGGTTCCCAGTTCATCTATATCTGAGCCTCTCTCTGCTGGTGTTCAAATTTTTCCATCAAAAACTCTTGAAAATATCATTGCCCTTTTGGTCCAATACTTTTGAAAGGGTGAGTTCAATTAGTTGTGACTATTCTACACTTTCAATAGTATATTCTCCATCAATCCAGATTTTAAAACAATAGCACAGTCTATCCAGATACATCTTTTACTTTCAAATATTATTATTTACAGATCACATCAGATACATTTTAAACCACTGAACAAGGTGAAGCTACACATAATCACACAAGTTTAGGAATAGGATGTATTTAAGAAGTATCATTAAAATAATGGATATTAATGAAATAAGGGATTCTCTTTATAGTTATTAATTGAAATAGATACTAAAGTTAAGATGCCGTCATGAAACAAATCACATATATCAATTAATTTGTGGATTGTTACCTTCTGTTGACCATATTCTCTTGGTAATAGGGAATTAACCAGAAAACCCTTGGGATTCCAATCCTTGTAGTTGAAAGTTCTAGAAATACACCAATGTGCTTTCTTGTCTTGGCAGAGGATTTTAACCATTCCCATTCATATTTTTAAAACTGATTCTTTGAGGTCATCTCTATGAATATGCATAAACTTCTAGAATATTTAAAAAAAATTTTTTTAAACATATCTTCCATCTTTAATATATTTTATTGATTTCTTACAGAGAGGAAGGGAGAGAGATAGATAGCCAGAAACGTTGAGAGAGAAACATTGACCAGCCGCCTCCTGCACACCCCCCACCGGGGATGTGCCCGCAACCAACCAACGTACATGCCCTTGACCAGAATCGAACCCGGGACCTTTCAGCCCGCAGACCGATGCTCTACCACTGAGCCAAACCGGTTTCGGCAACTTCTAGATTATATATTATGATTATATATTCCAACCCCTAGGCTAGTTCCTTTTATTTCATTATTTTGTCTTTCTCCTAAAAGCATATGGCTAAATTATGATTAATTAAGGTTATAGCCCTCTATGTCAGTTTATTTAAGTCACTAGTAATTAACTAGAGGACAAGTGCACGTGGGTGGGGAGGGTCCAGTTAGCCCACGCCGATGGTGGCTGGGCAATGGGGGGGGGGGCACAGGTGATTGGCTGGCCGGTCCCACCCCCAATTGGGCCGGTTGGCCAGCCACAGTGGGTGTCATAGCAACCGGTCATTTCAGCATTCCGGTACCTGGCTTTTTATATAGAGAGAGATTATTGAGCACTTATACTATAGTGAGCATGAACTTATGATATAGACAGAAAACTTCAGCAGAACTTCCTTCAGTGATGGAAATACCCTACATCTACACTTTCCCATAAGCTTAGCTACTAGCCATATTTGTATTGAGCCCCTGAAATGTTGCATATATGACAGAGGGGCAGAATTTTTTATTTTAAATTATTTAAGTAGCCACATATGGCTGTGGCTGCTAAATTGGACAGAGTTACAGATCCCACCTTGAGTGAATTACTTAACTTCTCTATAAAATAATATATACCTTCTAGGAGAGTTATGAGTTCATGTATATAAATCATTTAGCAATGTGCCTGGCATAGAGTAAGAACCCAAAAATAAACATTAGATATTATTATTGTGATCTGTGTTAGTTAACTGTGCATGTATCATGGAAGGGAATACAGAAGTGGTGAAAATGTAATTCCCATGTTTAAAATGTTTATTTGTTTTTCGTATGGGCCTTTCCAAAAAGTTTCAACCTCAAGGAACATGAGGCAGAGAGGCTGGTTTTGTGTTTTTAATTTGTTTCTCAGTAAGCAGATAGTCTGTTTCATCATATCTGTACAGTAGATATTTCAGTCTCTAAGTACAGAAAGCTAGGTTCCACTCTAAAACTCTGTTACTTAATTTGAAATTCTATTTTTACTATCTAAGTTATATTTTGATAGTGTTACAAAAAAGTTTTAAATATTTCAGGCTCTGTCCTTAGTGTTTTATGTGTATTACCTCAATTCCCAATCATAATCCTTGGCGCTATAAGCCCATAAGTCATTATCTGAAACCCCAAGACCAGATATGTTTCAGAATTCTCAGTTTTTTAGATTTTAGAAAGCCAGTTGAAGGTATGTAACTACTGGACCAATGTTAGCATTTCAGTAATGAAACATGTAGATATTTATGTTAAATGGAATAAATAAGGATTCACATCAAGTCAGATCATATTTCCCTACTAATTGTGAGATTAGGTTTTGACATCAAATAATTTATGGATATTTCCAATTTTAAAATATTTCTGAAGTGTGGAATTTAAAAAAATATATTTTATTGATTTTTTACAGAGAGGAAGTGAGAGGGCTAGAGAGTTAGAAACATCAAAGAGGGAGAAACATCGATCAACTGCCTCCTGCACATCTATTGGGGACGTGCCCACAACCAAGGTACATGCCCTAGACCGGAATCGAACCTGGGACCTTTCAGTCTGCAGGCTGATGCTCTATCCACTGAGCCAAACCAGTTATCAGTTTGTATGTATCTTCCCTGCAGCTGTTATAGTGGAACCCCAGGTTTGCCTAGTTATAAGTCTCATGTTCTTTTCATCTTTTCCACATCAAAGGGCTAGTCTTGATTGAATGCTTGTCGAGCTTGCCTTTAATGTTATTTCTCTTATGCTGTGCATTGTTTTTATGACTACTCTTTGAACCCTCGCTTCATTTCTTGTTTACTGCCATCTTCTCTGTAACTCACATAGTGGTGAGTGCTCAGTGAGTACTTGTTGGCTACTATATTGGCTCAACCCATAGACACTGTTTTTCACAGCCCTTCACATGTTGTACGGTTTTCTAGCACAGTAGGGTAAAAGGCAGGACAGGGCCAGCATTTGTTATGTAAATGACTTTACATTTGTTTTTAAGATAAAGTACAATCTGGAAAATAGGTAACATGAAAACTACTATATCATTGTGTAAGGGGGGGTGATTATCCATGGGGTCATTAGTGTATGATGTACTTTCGTGGATATATGGATGTCGACTAATACTTTCTGTACTTCATTTCCTTGATAGATTTACTGCAGAAACATTTTTCTTTGTTCCCTTTTCTATATCAGAATGGTGCTCCCTTCTTTTGTCTAAGTGGAGAGACCATCCCTGTAGGAATTTGTGTAATTGGGCTCGTTCACATGCTGCTGATACTACCTAGGCTGCCTTAGGAAGTCACAGTTTGGTTTGGGATCTTGATTTCAAAAGTGTATTTAGAAGGGTGAAAGTTGAACAGTTTTTCCATTGGCACTGACTTTTTTTCTTGAACACTTAACCTGCTCTTTAGGCTTCCTTCTTGTCAGGGGAAGCACTGCCCCCCCCTCCCAGATTCCATCTGTGGCACCTTCCTTCACTGCGTGGCCCCATTGCTCACAGTTAGTGCTCCTTCCATTTTGGATTCCCATTCCCTCAGTTCTGTGGCTGTCAGCTGAATTAGTCACCAGGAAAAAAGTCAGTCTGGAAATTTCAGACGTTAACAGGGAAGAGATTTGGAGCAGTGTAGCCTCTGCACACCTCTCCATGCCTTTTTCTGAGAATTTCTCCACCATGTTGAAGTATAGATAAACCTCACAGTACCATTTTGTGCTCTCAAAATTTCCCTGGCTTGTCTTTAACCCCCTTTTCATTAGCTTATCTCATGAAAGTGTTCTCTACATCTCTTTAACTTTTCCTGAGACCCATCACTGCCCTGTTGTTTGTTTTCTTAGAGTTTGGTACTTAACAGATTTCTTGTCTTGTGCTTCTGTCTCTTATGAGGTTTTGTCCTTCTTTTGAACCCAGCCATGCCAAATGCACGTCTGGACTCTATTGCTCTGAATAGAACTCACTAAGCCAGAAAATTGGGGGTGAGATCACTTGTTGTAAAAGAACACCCTTCCTTTCTTTGCTATTTGCTGTACTCGGGTATCATTAGTCATCTTAAATGCTTTTAAGGTATTTGGGCCCTGGGCAGGAATCAGAGTATTGTTCTACTTGCAGTTGAGGCAGCTGACAATGTACAGGTATGTCAACAGGGGACTTTGAACTTCCTTTCTTAGCCAAAGTATGGGACAGGAGTCTGGTAATTAGCACATGTTATAAAAGTGGCAGATAAACGGTCACTTCTGGCTGGTGAGAACTAGAGATAGTAAAGATGGAACAGCCTGCACTGGACCATCACTGCAGAACTGATCATAGATGAAGGTTTTTAATGATGCCTTCAGTGATTCACACTGAGGTTTTACTGACTATAATTCCCCACTTAGAGCATTAGAGCCTTCTAAAATCACACACTGTCTGTCTGAATGCTGTGCTCACAGAAAGTGTTGGTGCTGATAACAAAGGAAGATGCATCCTGGGACTGTGGTCTCCGAGACTGGACAAGACCCCTAAGATAGTCTGTAAAGGGTTTATAATTTAAAGTGAGATGAGAAGTCTTAGCAAAGAAATCACTTCTAGATTCTTCTTTTATGATTTAGGACAAAAGCAGCAGGATTTAATTTCATCAACATTCCCCCTCATATGTGAAACTATAATTAAACCCATTTTGGGTTTGTTTTATATTTATTGTTTGTTACTCATATTACTTAGTGTAGCAAAATCACTGACTTACAACTTAGATAACTTATTAACTATTTATAAAATGTTTATTAAATTAAATAGCACTGTATTTAATTCATCTGGTTATTTTTAAATGTATACTGTTGCACATTTAGACCCCTACTTAACTGTTTTGAATTTCGAAATTTTTATTAAAAGAATTGAACTGGATGGATATCTAAAATGTAAAGGAAGGCTGGAATTTTGTTTAAAAACACTCTTTTTTATGTGCTAACATGTTTTACTAACCTCACCAGCCAGAAGGGGTTATTTTGTAGAAATGAGAACTCACTGTCTGCTGGCATGGCTGCCCAGGACTTTCCGTTAAGTGTGTTCCTGGGCTTCTGGAAGCCCCGGTGATGACTCACCTGAGCTCATAAGCATTTATCTAATTTTCCTCTTTGTTCTCCCCCCACTTCGTTTGTTAGTCACTCCTTAGCATGCCACGTGAGCCCAGGGTCTCCTCACAGTGCTGCTAGTTCCCAGCAAATTGATACCTGTACCAGGAGTCTCCTGGAACTTCTGGGCTTGAACCCCGTAAACTGCCAAAGAGTGGTGCCATGTTCTTAGAAGAAATGTTTTTGGAAGAATACTTAACTCTCTCATACCAAAAAACTATTCCCACATTACAGCCTCATGAAAAGTTTCTTGCACCTGTCTTTTTCCAAAGATCCAATCTTCATTCTTGCCCACAAGTTTCTTAGAATAATTGCTTTATGGATTTATCCTGTCTGATTAGTCTTTATTTCTAATTAGAACTTACAACATGACTTTTTTTTCTTGTCCCCACCAACTAGAAATATTTTTATTTTCAACACAGATGCAGAGTTTGCAGGGTGGTACAGAAGCCATAGCCCGATTGGATCAGTTAGAAGCTGATTATTATGATCTGCAACTTCAGTTGTATGAAGTACAGTTTGAAATCTTGAAGTGTGAAGAGTTATTGTTGACAGCACAATTAGAAAGCATCAAAAGACTTATATCAGGTATGGTGTACATTTAACCACATAAGTCCACAAAAGATTGAATGCTTTATAAGAGACTAGAGGCCCAGTGCACAAATTCAGCAAAGGGGAGGGGTTGTGGGAGCCCCATTGACAACCAGGGGGCAGCTCCTGCGTTGAGCATCTGCCCCCTGGTGGTCAGTGTGCATTATAGCTACTAGCTGGTAGATAATGGCTTTGCCTGAGGTTACAGAACCAGTAAGTAGATGAGAACCCTGTTCTGTCTGCAGTTTACGCTCTTAACCGTATCTCTGTTGCTATTCTGTACCAGAAAAGAGAGATGAAGTGGTGTACTATGATACTTATGAGAGCATGGAGGCAATGCTGGAGAAGGAAGAGATGGCAACGTCAGTGCATTTACAGAGAGAAGAGCTGCATAAACTTCAGCAGAAAGCACGCCAGCTGGAAGCAAGACGTGGACGGGTTTCAGCCAAGAAAGCCTACCTCAGAAATAAAAAGGTATAATAAGTTATGTATTTATGACATTCAGCCTTAATTTTAAATTTTGCTTTTATTTATTACCTAATCCTTAATCTATAGTTAATAATGCTAAGCTAGTTTGTCACTAATACTTGTTCATCTTTTAAAATGAAGTAACTTATTATGGGGTGCTGCTTCAGAGTCCTGCTGGAGTTCCTTGGTAATATGATATATATAACCTATCACCTTTTTAAAATCTGAAAAAAAAATTAATTTCAAAACATATCTGACCTTTGTTCTGGATAAGGGATTGTGGACCTGTATTCTCATTTTAAAACCAAGGGAGCCAAGGTTAAATAAATGACCCAAGGAGAAGTACTTAGTAATGGGCAAGGTAGGATTCTATCTGAGGTCTGTGTGACTTGAGAAGCCTGAGTCAGTATACCACTGCATCATGTCACTGTATGGGACTGCCTTTTTCCCCTAGGGAGACTGCCCTGGACAAGATCATTTCATGATCAATACTTGTTAGGCAAGAGATTTAACCGAGTTTCGGGGGAGAATATAATATCAACAGTTGCTTTACAAAATAGTTTACTGGCTTAAAATGTCATTCCTCAGATGCCTTTCTCTGACTAGAAGACTAATCTTTGGTATTGCTCCTAGAGTGTTGGGAACTAATGGAAACCCTTTCATCTGGAGGGCTTTCCAAAAGGACAGAGGGAAAATGAAGATTTAGCGTGGTGTCACTAAAATTGCCAAATGACAGTGTATTATTTTGTAAAGAAGCACGTATATCTCATTTTATTGTTACCTTTTTGTTTTCATGGGAGCATAATTTCAGGAAAAGCATAATTCTGACTTTCTAGTCTTTGAGGTCTCTTTTAGCTCTAAAGTCCGTGGCCAGAAGCTTAAGATTTCATAATATGGTTCAAAGCAGTCTGGGCATAATCATGTCCTTTTATTCATCAGAGAGAGTTTAAGAATACAGACTTTAAGCCAGGAGTTGTATATCCTTTTTGCCCAGACAGTTTAAGGAGTACAATAAGACAGAATATTCTGGCCACAGACTTTCAGAGCTGAAAGAGACCTTTGAGACTATATAAGAACACCTTCTTCCACTCTATCTTGCCCAATTTCCAAAAAAGGGAAATCAGGAATGCTAGAGAAGTTTTAATAGTTGGATAGAAATCTCTTTTTTAAGATCCTGGTTATTTGGCTGGCTTATGCTGCTTCAGTATACAAATGAGAAACCAGAGGTGGTTTATTTGATATTTTGCCATGCAGTTATATGTTAAAATGTGACTTATCACGTAAACCATGATATGTTGTTTAAATCTTTAAGTTCCACTTATATTAAAACACGTTTTATATGTTTACAGGAAATTTGTATTGCAAAACACACTGAAAAATTCCATCAGCACCTTCAGAGTGAAGAGAACTACAGAACCCATCACACAGTACAACTAGTAAGTTTCATAACTCATTTGCTATCTAGAAAGCCTTTTCATTTAATTAATATTCTGCCAATTGAGATTTAATTAGATCACTTTTAGTTGATTCAACAATACGAGAAAAATTTTAAATTTTTGTACAAATAACTGCCAGCTATAAGGTTATGATAGTGAAGCAAATGATTTATGTATAATGCTGGAACTACTTTTATTTTTTTTTTAACTGCTGGTTATATTGGTTGGCCTAAAGTGTAATATCTAAATTACTGACCAAGTGTTTATTGATTTATTTTAAGGTCCACTGTTTTGAGTTAGCAGAATTAATAGCTATAAGTATTTCATACTTAAAATTGTTTAAGCCAGAGCCCCAAAAATGAAACATTTTCTAGTTCAGAGATTTTATTCTATTTTACAGAATAAAATTCTTTAATTGGGAGTAAATAAAAAATAAAATAGTATTATTTTTGCCATTATGAATTTTAAAACGATAATTTGTTAAAAACAGATAGTATTTCATGCCATAAAACATTTTGTTTAATGCGTCGTTTTGGGGGGTTACCCACCTGACATACTGGGAGAACTCTGTTCTTTTTTCCTATTAATGATAAAAAGAAATGGGAAACATCATAATTGAATTACTCTTCACTTTTTACCAGAAGAGAGAGAAATTACATGATGAAGAAGAAAGAAAAAGTGCTTGGGTTAGTCAAGAAAGACAGAGAACGCTGGATAGACTTCGAACTTTTAAACAGGTAATAAAAGTACACTGTTTTGTTTTTCATTGCTATATACACACTACTGTAAGATTTCTTTGTATGAGAAAAACTGGGCTTTCCCTTTGTTGTTTAGAAAGTAATTAAGTTTTGATTGAATGGCTACCTTTCCTCTGGTTGTTTCCAGAATTAATATCCTGTGACCCTTGGCTGCCACTTCAGTCTAGTATAAGAGGAATGGCCACTAGGAAGCCTGGATTCCCCTTGAATTATAAACTAATTATAAGGTAATTAGTTTACAGCTAGCTCTCCATTTCAAGCATCAACTTGTTATTGATTCCATACACATCAACGTATGGTAGTAATCTATGGAAATGATCAGTGACAGAATTAGAGAGTGGATCAGCATACATGGGAAATGCTTCAGCAGTTTTCTTACCAGTGAATCCATGACTTGACACTGACATCATAGCAGCTAAATATTTTCTTTGAACTGTGCTTAAGCTGAATAGTTTTAGTTGGTAAATTGCTCAGGAGCCTTATTTCCACTGTCGGAAGCTTTTTATAAAGTCCTATTAGTATTATAGTGAAAACGGTGTTAAGCCTTGAGTTAAGCGAATGCATTAATGCTCGGTTTCATTGCAGTAAAAATATAGAATTAGAATTGTTACGTCAGTCAGTACTCCCAAAATTTCATCTGTAAGTATTTGAAAATAAATGTAAGAGAGTAATAATTGCCGATACCGGTTTGGCTCAGTGGATAGAGTGTCGGTCTGCGGACCGAAAGGTCCCAGGTTCAATTCAGGTCAAGGGCACGTACATTGGTTGTGGGCACATCGATGTTTCTATCCCTCTTTCTTCCTCTCTGTAAAGAATCAATAAAATATATATTAAAAAAAGAAAAGATCAATGGAAAAAATATTCTTAAAAAACAAATAATCCCTTAGCTTTCTGCATATATATGTTTTACATCATTTATGTTGTGTAATTTGCATTTCTATTATTTTTTTGTTTAAATTCATAATTTTATCCAGTAAAGACCGTTTTTTAATAGTCATAATTTTGAATAGTTGCTTAAGTCGAAAAGAAGATTACAAGATCTTGATAAAGGATTTGATGATGAGCAAATGTTAAAGAGTTTGGTGATAGCCTTAACCGGTTCAGCTCAGTGGATAGAGTATCAGCCTGTGGACTGAAAGGTCCCGGGTTCGATTCCGGTCAAGGGCATGTACCTTGGTTGCAGGCACATCCCCAGTAGGAGGTGTGCAGGAGGCAGCTGATTGATGTTTCACTTTCATTGATGTTCTCTATCCCTCTGCCTTCCTCTCTGTAAAACATCAATAAAATAGTTTGTTTTTTTTTAAAGTTTGGTGATAACTGTTTGAAAGTTACTACACTTTGGTATTCTGGTTTTCTGTATAACTTTATTACAAAAATTTCCCTGAAAATTACAAAAGCTCCAAAAGAACATCTTTCACTTGAGAGGGAGAATAGCCATTTGTTCATAAATTGTTTTAACATAATTTAACCAGTTATGATAACTTCTGTTTTTTTAGAGGTACCCTGGCCAAGTTATATTTAAATCAAGCAGATTGCGACTGGCTCATGCAAGAAGTGCCGCCAGTCCTGTGCCCTGCGAGGAGCAATGCAACTCTATGCCAGGAGCACTGCAGATAGAAGAGAAAAGTGAAGAGGTGCAGAAAGGAAGAGGCAAGCTTGGGTCATCACAGACAGCAGAAGCCCAAAGCCTCATACAACTTGAAGATACTTCATTAGTACAACTTGAAGCCACTTCATTACCTCTCAGTGGTGTTACCTCGGAACTGTGCCCCACTGTTTCTCTTTCACTTTTGAATAATATTGACCTTGAACCAGGTTCTGTTACCACAGATCCACTCCCACCACCTCTTCCTCCAACACCGCCACCTCCACCACCTCCTCCTCCCCCGCCCCCACCACCACCACCTCTGCCTGTTGCTAAGGACAGCATCCCAGAGACACTGGAGAAAGATCTGCCTAGAGTGGAGGGGAACGAGAAGAGAATCCCTAAATCTGCGAGTGCCCCTTCAGCACATCTCTTTGATAGCAGCCAGCTGGTCAGTGCCAGGAAGAAGCTCAAAAAGACTGCTGAAGGTTTGCAGAGAAGGAGAGGTAAGTTAAAGAGATCTTTTCATGTTCATCTGTTGAAAAAGAGAGTCATAATCAAAGGACTTTTTATTTCATAGGATCTTACGAAGCTTAATACATTATTTTATTTCTGGACATTATTTGATAGCAAATAGGTTTTCAAGATCACAGCAGGGCAGAATTCTTACCAACCCATATAGACAAATTTCTATAGACATAACCTTTATGTCTATATAAAAGTGTGTACCTTTAGCTGTTGGGTATATTTTTTAAAATAAATCTTCTAAAGTGATACTTAATCTATTTGGTAATACATAGTAGGCAGCTTCTTTTGTGTAAGAAAGTGATTTTAAACCTGGGAAATACAAGAAATGTATTCACATTGGAAAGCTTAAGTCATCTGGTCAGAACTATCACACTAGGGTGGCATTGGCAGAACAGTATAACATTTGGTCACGTGTTTATTGAGGATCTTGGTATACTCCATATAAAGAATCAAAGGAGAATAAGGAGTAATATGAATAATTTCTTACATGTCATATTTTGTTAAAACTATTTTTTTAAAAAGAACAGAAAATCTTGGCCCTCAAGGAGCTTTAGCTTGCATAGAATATTATATAGAACATTTTGCATATTATATTTTAATCTGAAATACTATACTGTAAAATATTTTTTACCTTAATCCAAGTAGAATTTCATGTGTAAAACAACTAAATGCAAAGTATAATCACTATAATGAACCAAAATTAATTTTTGAAAATTAAATGTATAACCCAGTCACTTCTTGGTTGGTTTGGTGCATTATAGAAATCCTTCAGAAGTCTCACCCATGATATTTCTAAAGACCACCTTCCAGCTCCCAATCTGTTCCCTTCTCTCACATGGGAAATAATAGGAATACCAATAATACCTGACATGGAATTGAATCTTTGAATTTCTTTTTAGTAAGTGTAATTAGGATTCCCTGGGCTTTGGAACCTTCTGGTCACACTGAATAGTCCATTTTATAGATGGTGTTTCCAGTGTCATGGGCTATCAAGTCCTACAGTCTTTAGAGGTTGTAGTAGTTTGACTTTATGTGTTATCCTAACTACAGTCGTTTCCTTTCATTTTCTAAAGTGAGCTCACCCATGGATGAGGTGTTAGCTTCCTTGAAACGTGGTAGTTTTCATCTGAAAAAGGTTGAACAACGAACTCTGCCTCCTTTTCCTGATGAAGATGATAGTAATAATATCTTGGCACAAATAAGGAAGGGGGTAAAATTGAAGAAAGTACAGAAGGAAGTTTTGAGAGAATCCTTCACGCTTCTGCCTGACACAGACCCTCTCACGCGGAGCATCCATGAAGCTCTCAGGAGAATCAAAGAAGCATCCCCCGAGTCGGAGGATGAAGAGGAGGCCTTGCCTTGCACAGAATGGGAAAACTAACAAGTAAATGGTCTTGCTTTCTTCATAGCATTGGTAACACAGCTTTTATACTGGATGATGATGATAATGTCTCTTATGTTGAGCCTGAGGTTTATTATTTATTATACAGGCCAATTATAGTTGGGTCATAAATTTGTAAACTTCAGATTTTACTTCTGTGGTTTCTAGAAACTTAATAGGAAAGCACTTCACTTTTCAAAGATACTGCTTTGTAAATGTTTTTTTATATGGCAGTACAGTCATATCCCAAGTAAAGAGGATAGTCTTATCTAATACCAAGAAAGTCTTTCAAAACAGAAATGGCCTTTTCTAACTGAAGCATTTTTATTACACATGCATGCATATTGAATTTTGATGTTTTATTAGCTGCCTGTAAAGGAATTTTTGAAGATCATACTGGAAAAGTAATTGTGTTATCTCATTATTTAGCTTTCTAAGCCTTTAAAACTGAGGTTGATCATTTTTAGGCTTATAGTTACTATATTGTTTAATTAAAATTGCAGTTAACATAATAAATATAAAAATTATACATATAATATTTTATTGAGTACCCCTCTGGGTATTGGTTCCACATTTGGCATTCTACCAGGGTATAGAGAGTTATACTCCATTACATTTTAATAAGGTAAATATAAAGTAATATAATTATAAATTATGTTAAATATATAGAATCAGTCATGACAACATATATTATAAGTTAAATAATATACAGCTTCACCCCATTCACCAAAAGGGGGGGAGACTCAGAGGGAAAGACAGAGAGATACATCGATGTGAGAGAAACACATTGATTGGTTGCCTCCAGGAGAAGCCTGCAACCAAGGTATGTACCCTTGACTGGAATTGAACCTGGGACCCTTAAATCTGCAGGCCAACCAACGCTCTATCCACTGAGCCAAACCTGCTAGGGTTCATCAGCACAACTATTCTTAAACATGTTTGATTATAAGAATTACCTGGAAAGCTTATTAAAAGGGCAGATTCCTGGCCTTCACTCCCCAGGATACTGACCAAGTAGTTCTGATGCATATGCAGGAATACATCTGGATTTTGAAGATTTAATACAAAATAAAAAAACTGTCATTAATTTTTAGATTGATTACATGTTCAAAGATACTATTTTGGATATCAAATATTACTAAAAGCAATTTTACCTGTTGCACATCTCTCCAGCAGCATCTGCACAGATAAGTAATTTAACAAAATGGGTAGGGGAAAATCATATTTCTCTTAAGTGGTTGTGTGTTACCTTTAATGTGCTTGAGCCAACATTTCAGAATACCATGGTCCTGCCATGGATTTTGGGCTTTTGGTATCCTTTTTTCCAACGGCCTTACTTATAGAGGTCCTGATTAACAGAGTCACTCTGTGTGACTTACTGTTTATGAGCCCCAAAATAATTTCAAACCATTTGTGCTTGTACGTAACTAGTACATGTATACTATGCTTTGCAAAGGGATATAAATATTATCAGCGTATCTACCTGGTGTATGAATGTGTCTACAGACTCAGGTGTGTCTTGACAGGGAATCTTGTTGACACTGGATCTTTGTCTTTCACATTATAGTGCTTGCTACCTATTTTTATTGCTTGTCTCCTGTTACAGCTTCTCAGTGAGATGCTAAGCCTATGCCTGAAACTACCATCTTAGTGCTGATTGGTTTATCCCTCAGGTGGGCCTTCATAGAATGAGTATGCTTAGTCCTTTTATTACAGTTGCCGGCAGTGGCCCAGGCAGGGTATGTGGCCTCCCAGCAGCTGCTCACGCCAGCCCATCACTGTTTGTCATCTTCCCATCCTACCAGATCCTGCCCAACATAGACACTGCAACAGTATTTCCTACATTAAAGTGTCTATTATTTGTAGCTTTTGGCTGCTAATTTGGCCTTATTTCTGTTGTCCAGGATAAATACCACTTTGAAAATTGCCTAAAACTTTTCTCTTTTTGAATGATTTTTTTATGACTGGTATATGTAGTATAATGTTGAGAGAAACAATGAAATAGTTCCACAAAATGTATGAGCTCAGGTAGCTGCAAAGCTAATTTTAAAAGACAGTATATCCTACACCCAAAGCAATCTGTAGATTAGCTGTATGCTCCACCAATTGAGTTGGCATTGATCAAAGAGCTCCATTTCACTGCCAGTGTGTGGGCTTAGGAAATCATTTTTAAATGCTTTAGATACTTCTCCACAGATAGCTAAAAAGACTGTAATTTGTATTTCCTGCTATTAATTGGCTTCATTCTTAGAGCTTTTAAATCATTAATGTGATTACATCTTTGAAGAGCTAATTCCTCAAAAATTCATGAAGTAAAAAGTGAAGTGTACCTCGTCCTCCTCTAAAAACTCTTCCTAGAGATCACTATAGGTAACAGTGTCCTTGAAGGGTATTTACATAGACTTTATTCAGTTTCTAGTTTGTTTCCTGTGGGAACAGGAGAGAGAGAGAGAAACATCAGTGTTGAGAGAGAATCATTGATTGGCTGCTTCTGCATGCCCTCCACTGGGGATTGAGCTTGCAACCTAGGCATGTGCTTTTAACTGGAATTGAATACGAGACTTGTCATTCCGCAGGCCCACACTTTATCCACTGAGCCAAACCAGCTAGGACCCTATGGGGTCCTTCTTAAACTTATGAAGGAATTATAATGACTCTGTTCAATAGAAATACAATGTGAGCCTGACATAGGATTTTAAAAGTTCTAATTATAAAGAAGGTAGAAAAGAATGGGTGAAACTGATTTTACTATTACTTTATTTTACATGCTATATCCAAAATGGTATCTTTCATCATGTTTTCAATATAAAAAAATATATACAATTCAATTTACATTTTTTTGGTACTGAGTCTTCAAAATCCACTGTGTATTTTATACTTAATAGTATAAATTATAGCATAGTACATCTTAGTCTGGATGCTAAATATTCAATGGTTAAAGTAAAATGTCCTATCAAAACAATGAAATTGTATTTAGTAGAAAAAAATATTTTCTATCACTTCATATTTAAATCAAATTAAAAATTAATTTTCTCAGGCACGCCTCATTTTAAGTGCTTAATAGACACATGTAGCTACAGTGTTAGATAACGCAGAACTATAATAAAGTAAGTTAATATTCTTTTCATATGAGCTTTTATCTGATAAGTACCAGAACTTTTATATAAATGTTCCTGTGCCATAGGTAAGCTCATAGATCTCAAACAACTACGTATTTTGAATTTTACAAAGTCTTTGTAAAACACCCATTTAAAGACAAGTACTAATCCCGTCCTCTAAATGTCAATCTAACAAAAATTGCTCCCTAGCGAATTTTAAAAATGTAATAGTTCTTATACTGTCAGTTTATTAGGCAAATACTTTTAGATTATATTTTTCCTTTTTGTATTGTCATGTTACATTAAAAGAAATAAAAAAGAGAATCAAACATACAACCTTTTAACAGTGATCAAAACCCATATGTAAGTTTTCTCATTTTTATTGCTTTTGAATACAAGCATATCTTTTTTTTTTTTTTTTTTAACTGTATAAATGGCCATTTATAAGGAAAATCATCATTGTTCATTCTGGATGTTGCTAAAGTTATGAGGAAGCATATATACATACTACCTTTAATAGGTCATTTTTTTTTTAATACACTGTTATTTCGTTTGTAAACAGGTGACTCATGAAAAAGAAAAAAATACCTGCGGTTGAAGACCGATTCATATTCTTTTGAAAAACAAATTTTGGTTCCAGAATTGGATTCCATTAGATCCAAAGTGTATTGGCTCAGTGGTGTGAAAAAAGGAAGCACAATTGGCAAGTTATTACTCTTCAGTCATTGCAATAGATGGTGGTTAACATGAGTGTTAGGTGTGCAGTGTTTCTGACTAGAGGGAAGAAAAGGCCTTCAAAGAGATGGCCTTTTTTTTTTTTTTTTTTTTTTCACCATCTTCCCCTCCTGTCCACCCACATACATACTTACAGTGGCCAGTAAAGCTAGGGGTTGCTATGAGTTGGAAGAGCACTGGGTGGACAGGGGTCTACTGTAAGTTGTATTGGGACTGCTTTGAAATCTATTTTTCAGTGCACTGGTAGTCATCTGCTTGAAAATAACAGAGCTTCTTCCATATCAGCTTATATAAATAGTTTGACACTCTGAAAAAGAAGTTTATCATGATAACCATTGGGCAGGAATTGGAAGAAAATCAGATGATGAACATTTCCACATTACTTATCTCCAAAGGAATTTTCATAAAGATGTTCAACAATATCTGGAAAGATACAAAACTATGGAGATACATCTAGTTACGTGTTTACCACAATATGATACATTTAACATGGCATATTTTTAGAAAATCGCACACTCTTACACTTTGTAAGTTTTTGAAGTAAAAATTTCCATGCTTTTAAATAGCTCTTAATAATCGTGAATTTATAATAGTTTGAATATTATGTGCAGCTTTGTTTATGAGAAGCAATACTTTGTAATTTGATAATTCAAATTATTTTTGGTCTTTTTGTTTGAACTATTGCTTGATTACTGTAATTCAACATGACTTTCCTATTAAGAATCAAAATTCAGGATTCTATAATAGGAATGCAGATTCCTATTTATCATGTCTTTTTATCATGTACCATTTAAGTTTTTATTTTTACGCTCCACAGTGGGAAAAAAAAAAAGTGATCTACAGATATGCAGAAGAAATTAGACAAGCAGAAAAGCCTCCTTAGCTGGCATTTCACTATCCTCACATGCTTTGAGTGGAGTTTTTGGATAGAGCCTTTGTTATTGTCACTAAATTAAACGTGTGTAGCTCTAGGTGCCTGTTTTGCTATAATGGAGTCCCGAAGGGTGCGTTTATATGAATGGAGCCAGTATGTGTTCTCAGCTGGACTGCTATGGGCTTAAATGAAGATAGATATGTTGGACTCAGTATAATATTCTGTAAAGTAATTCTGCATAAGACAGATCTTGGCCTTTATCTGAAGGGAGGACCAAAGTACCAAAAAAGACATTTCTTATGAGGCAATGATCTGACCTAGACTCAGAAAGCAGTCCCAGTGTAAAAGCCCTCCAGTGGATCAGTATTCCGGAGAAGAAGAAAATGCTCACACCCTTGTCACATTAAAGTATTATTTCCTTGAGAATAATTCATTCATTGAGATTTAGAAAAATACAGGAGGATGCAATGTTAAGTTAGCAAAAGCACTAGAACCCTCATGTCTAGAGGCATCGCTACCCATTTGGTGTTACAGCTGCGATTCCAAGGGTCCCATGAAGATTATCTCACATTTGAAGATGATTAGGTTAGAGCAGCCAGCTGTGCTCATTCTCTGGTAAATAACTTTCTCTAATATACTCACTTCCCTTTGAGATTCAGATTCCTGCTTCCATAAAATTGCATGTTACTGCAGGTCATCAACTTTTAAAGAGTTCTCACAAATAATATTAAAATTTAAAATAACTGTGACCCACTTGTCTTAAGACGACTCATCTTAATTTTAAAGCAGTTTTAGACCCCAACAGGAATTATGTTGACATGGTTAAATTCTTTTTTTTTTTTTTTTCTTACCCCAGTAAGATGAGCACCTTGGGCCTTAGTATTTCATTTGTGTATATTTTAGTTATGATGGTACTTATAGATCGCGTTTCCACTTCCAAACTTGCCTGTACTATTTATATGGTTTAAAATATTTGACAGCTATATTTCTGTTAATGTATCATTCCCATATATAAGAATCTGCAAACAACTGCTTGCTTATGCTGAATCAGTTTAGAAGTTCATTTACTAATCTAATCTCAACTACTATATATTTAAAATAGGGAAACAAGTAGGTGGTGGTCTGGGGAATGTTTTGAGAACAGTATTACTTACTCCTCACTTAAATGTCAATGTTAATTATTTCTTCTACTAATGCAACTAAAATTATGTATATATAACCAATGTGGAATATATAGAGGTATTCCTAATGATTTAAAATCCCAATGGTACTATATTGTAGCAATATGAAAAAATGTCTGGCTAAAGAAAGATTTTTAAAAGATAAGCAACTGTTTTGCTTACTTGATGAACATTTTATAGGCTTATTGAGTTTGTGAGCAGCATAAAAGCAATCATTCCTTAATTCTTCATTGTGAAACTTAAACATTTCTATAAAATGCATTTTTAAACAGACTTTTAGACACGACTGTGACACTAAGTCAGGGGGAGTATTTCCAAAATGGGACTGTGGGGCTTTTCTTATATGAAACCGTAGAAAAATTTCAGCACTTTTATGTTACTAGAGGCCCAGTGCACAAGTCTGCTCCCCAGGGGGAGCAGGCCTAAGCAGGCAGTTGGACATTCTTAGTGCTGCCGTGGAGGTGGGAGAGGCTCCCACCACCTTCACTGTGCTCGCCAGCCGTGAGCCCAGCTTCTGGGTTTCTGGCTGAACAACACTCCCCCTGTGGGAATGCACTGGCCACCAGGTGCAGCTCCTGCATTGAGGGTCTGCCTCCTGGTGGTCAGTGCACATCATAGCAACTGGTCATTCCACTGTTCGGTCGATTTGCATATTACCCTTTTATTATATAGGATGTGAGGGGGCGCCTTGGTTTCTACAAAGCTGAACTATGTAGCAATATTTGGTAACTTGGTGTGACCACTTTTGTAAAGCATATACTTTGGCCATAGCAGACACTAAGAATTGAAATTCTTTTATTAGCGGAACAAAGATAAATGGGGAGCATTCTCTCTGTTTGGGATGGGACCAGATATTATACAATTAACACAATTTAACTTTATACATTCCCTGATACTCCATTTTCAATTACATTTACTGAGTATGGAATGCTTTTAGCCTAAGAAAAGTTTTTTTTCTTTTACTGAATACAAGGTGTGTGTTTTTTTAATCTTTATAATTTCATTATTATGCACTTAACATCACATACCAACCTGTAAAGTACTAATGGGTCCTTACAGGCCTTATCAGGGAGTTGAAATTTCATGTACTTTACCATGTTATTTGTAAAAAAAAAAAATTTGAACAGATATAAAACATTTAAAAACTGTGGCAGACTCATTGTTAATGTGCAACATTAGATAGTGAAAGCAGAAACCTTAAGTTTTGCCTAATTCTTGCACTGAATTTAAATAATATAAAGTTAAATGTGCATTTTTAAATAGATTTTATTCCCCGTTTACTGCTTAACATAGAAGAACTATGCTTCACGTGGAGGGCTGACCAGCAGGCCTCGTTTCCGGTGGCAGAGAGGGAGGGAGGGAAGGAGAAGCACCTTACTGCGGCTGCGCGCTGCATTGTTCAAGCCACCGAGCAGCTCAGCAGTTGTGTCTGAACTTGGCTGCAGAGTGCTCTTTTGTTAAAGCACATGTAAAAAATCTCTGCCCAATTGCTTTGTGAGATGAAGCAATGCTATTTTTTATCCTATAAATATAGGCTAATTTAAAAGTTTTCCTACAAATATGAGTTTATATTGCTGCCTAAACTATCGTGTATGTAAAAAAGAGGCTTTTTAAAGGTAAGAGGGAGTCTGGATTATGTGTGTTAAATGTTTGTCCACGGACTTACATCAAAGACATATTCATGTGGAAATGTTCTCTTTTGCCCATGGTAAATGTATAGCTTGGCATTTGAGGAATTTAATTGAATTCCAAATTTATAAACGTTTCTCCCCTTCTCCATGCATTTATTATGACACTGTAAGGTGCATGTACAGAAAATACCTCTGAGATTGACACATTAAATACTTTATCAATGTTATTTCACACTGAATCTCAAACATTTGTTTTGAGGGATAGGGGAAAGTTTTTGTGTGTGTTTTTAAAGCCAGGTATAATTAAGATTGGCTTATTCTGGGGAGTTAAGGAAGGACCATGATAAATGACATATAGACATGTACAAAAGGGAAGTTTTGGTGTTTTGTTTCTTTTGCATGTTCTATGGTCATCAAAGAGTATATAACAAGTTATTCTAGCTTTTCCCAATACTAATTAAATTGGTTTTAAGAAGTCTCCATAATCACAGATGGCATTTTCCCTTCATCTGTTAACCAAAAGAAGTAACCAATATAACCCATATAGTGACTTCTGACTTCAACTTGGACAGAATCCTCACTGTGTCACTGAATTTCTTATTGTACTGTATGTATTGCCAAGGTTGAAACCATAATATGTAGTTTATGAAAAATTGAAGGCCACAGATCATTTTGCATGAGTAAAGCCCATTAGGATTAATGAAACTGACATGTTTTTTAGCCTTTCTGGTCAAATGAAAATTTTAATAGCAAACTGATTCACCATTTACTAGCTTTGTGCAATATTATAATGGTAGAAGCAAAACACTAGCACATTGTGCTTAGCTTTTAAGGATTGCTTTAACACTATCACATTACATGGGCAGTGTGCATAGTGTATTGTAAATGCCAACTCTTGCAAATTTACAATACTTAAGTATGCTAAGTTAACATCCTAAAGTATTAAAAGTACAAAGAAAAAAACTTAAGCAAGCATTTATAGCAATACTTTGAAATCTCCAATAATTGTTTTGACTGTTGCCTTTTGCTCTTTAGTGCAACTTTTCTGCATTGTAATTATTGTATTGCTTTGTATTTCATGTTTTTTACACTCATGACTTCAGAGTTAAGTACTTGTACACCAAGTATTGCAATCACCTTTCTCTTCTTGTACATGCAATGTAACAACATACAGTTTTGGTGCTTAACAATATTCCATTTTTTTCTTTAATAAAATATATTTATTGCATTTACCTAACTTTGTTTAACATTGGTGGGAGATACTGTCACTTCATTTCAAATAGAAGGAGCACAGCAAGTTACATACCTTTTATGTTGATCAGGATTCAGAGACTGTTTACCCCTATACTTCTGGCTCTTCCCAACGACTCTTTATTATGAAATATTTTCATAGCAGCTTTATACTAGTTCCAGCCTTATTCATATCATTTCTGTAACTATCCACATAGTTTGAAAAAAATGATTCCAAAATTGGAAGGTCTTTAAATGCCTTTCATGTTAGCAGTCAATTTGTGTTCATCTAATAAGGGGAGATTATCGGCTTTAATCAAATATAGGACTAGCTTAACTGGGTCCCGGCACATACTCTTACCCAACACTGACTTGATGAAGTCCCCAGCACACACACAGGTCTCAGGGAGGCGTCCTTCAATGGACTGAGGTCCCAGATGCTGCCAAACCCTACCTTTCCCCCAAGTCCTCATTTCCAAAATGATGGGCCGAACAGGATAAACGGGACTTTCCAGCTTCAGAATTCTGTATTGAGAAGTGAGAAATTTGCTGAAAGCGGTTTGGCTCAGTGGATAGAGCGTTGGCTTGTGGACTGAAAGGTCCCAGGTTTGATTCCGGTCAAGGGTATGTGCCTTGGTTGCAGGCATACCCCCTGTGGGGGGTGTGCAGAAGGCAGCTGATTGGTGTTTCTCTCTCATCGATGTTTCTAATTCTCTATCCCTCTCCCTTCCTCTCTGTAAAAAAAAAAAAAAAAAATTTAAATTTTTTTTTTAAGTCAGAAATTTCTCCCAGGAAGGGCCTTACTTCCATGTATTCTCTCTACAGATACATCAGCAACTAACCAGAGGGTTTTGAATACTAGTTTTTCCATAAAATGTACGTGATAGGAATGTTAGCCATATTGATAGAATATCATTTTCTGCCTCTTGAATTAAACTTACACACATTAATACAGACTCAACAGTACTTCAGAAGACTCCTAGTATCTAGTTCACCCTTTTGAAAATCATGGTGCTATTGGCTAGAGACGTGTTTATTGGGTGGACTTCTCTGTGAGGTTAGCCATCTTTCCTAAGACAGGTGAAAACCTCCTGAAAATCTAGGCCTGACTGGAATTCCTTACTCTTTGTGGCTTTGTTGCTTATCCTGACCTTGCTGAACTTCTATAAGCTGGTTGAAACCTGAGGAATTATTTGCTATAGGAAGCCCTTTGAGAGAGACTTAAAATTTTTGATGCAGCACTAGCTGGTTTGGCTCAGTGGATAGTGTGTCAGCCTTTGGACTGAAGGGTCCCAGGTTTGATTCCAGTCAAGGGCACATTCCCGGGTTGTGGGCTCAATCCCCAATAGGGGATATACAGGAGGCAGCCGATCAATGATTC